AACATGGAGCTGTGTTGATCTAGCAGAGGCTGCTTATGCTAACACATGGAGTGAGTGGAGGAATTGGAATTTGAGCCCAAGCTTTTTTGATCGACTCCAGTGCCATGTTTTTTTCCTTCTGTCCCAGTGCTTCTCAAAATTTAATGTGCAAAGGAATCACCTGGGGATTGACTCAGTTGCAGGGGTGAGATGGGGCGTGGGTTACTGCAGTTCTGCATTTCTCAATTTCTTTTTATTTATTTGATTTCTTTGACACAGTTCCCACCTGAATTGCATCCTCTAAATGCTCACAATGGTCAGGGCTAGGCCAGGGCCAAGCTGGGAGCTGGAAACTCAGTGTAGGAATTCAATTCAGGTCTCCCATATGCGTGGCAAGAACCAGCTACTGGAGCCGTCACCTGCTTGCCTCCCAGGGTCTGCAGTGGCAGGAAGCTGGAGTTGGCAGCCAGAGCAGGGTATCAAACCCAGCTTCTCTGATGTGGGATGTAGGCATCCTCACTGTTAGACCATTAGCTGTACCAGTTCTGCATTTCTGACAATCTCAGGTGAAGTCTGTGCCTCTGGTCTTCAGGCCACATCTTGGTTATTCATGATCTGTATTGTGTTCTGGCATTACTAATTTTGCTATAGATAACCCTCATGGAGGTTAATTCACAACGTTGATAATCTGCACAAATTGAATTTTTCAGTGTTTTCACTTTGAGCTGTGTGTAATCACCACTGTGAATTGAGGAGGGGCTTTATTCCACTGAACTGGCAGAATCATAGTTCTGTGTTACATGAAGGCGAGGTATGTTAGGAAAGGAAAATGAATGGCCAGCGCTGTGGCTCACTAGGCTAATCCTCCACCTGTAGCGCCGGCATCCCGGGTTCTAGTCCTGGTCGGGGCACCGGATTCTGTCCCAGTTGCCCCTCTTCCAGGCCAGCTCTCTGCTATGGCCTCGGGAGCGCAGTGGAAGATGGCCCAAGTGCTTGGGCCCTGCACCCACATGGGAGACCAGGAGAAGCACCTGGCTCCTGCCTTCAGATCAGCGCCGTGTGCCGGCCGTGGCGCGCCGGCTGCAGCAGCCACTGGAGGGTGAACCAACGACAAAGGAAGACCTTTCTCTCTGTCTCTCTCTCTCACTATCCACTCTGCCTGTCAAAAAAAAAAAAAAAGGAAAATGAATGTTGTAGAGGGTTTGGTGAGAGTCTGAGTAGATGGTAGATGGCTGCTGTGTCCCTTCACTTACTGGAAAGGTGCACATTGTTTTTCACTTGAACATCTGTGAGATAGGGATGCGTCTTGCAGTAGATGACATTTTGCCATTGCTGAGCTGGCCATTTGACTCGTGCCACTTCTGGCTGGCCCCTCTCCTGCTCCATGGGGAATGGAGCCCAGCAGCTGCTGAGATGCGTACATTGCGTTGTCCTCTTCCTGCCACTCTTATTTTTCCTGACACATGCCTCAGTTCCTTCGCTCTATCACAGCTGAATCTGAGTTTAGACCATCAGCTGCCGACTTGGGCATTTTATACGGGTCTGACATGCTGTGGGCAGGATGGATTTCTATTTGTTGCTGACTGTGATCATCACCTGTTTAATGCAAGGGTAATTCAAAGAGTTTTTGGTGGGGCCGGCACCATGGCGTAGTAGGTTAATTCTCCACCTGCAGCGCTGGCATCCCATATGGGTGCCAGTTCTAGTCCCGGCTGCTGCTCTTCCAATCCAGCTCTCTGCTATAGCCTGGGAAAGCAGTAGTAGATGGCCCAAGTGCCTGGGCCCCTGCACCCTGGCTCCTGGCTTTGGATCGGCGCAGCGCCAGCTGCGGCGGCTATTTGGGGAGTGAACCAACGGAAGGAAGACCTTTCTCTCTGTCTCCTGTCTCTTCCTCTCACTGTCTGAAACTCTACCTCTCAAATAAACAAAATTTAAAAAAAAAAACAAAAAACAGAGTTTCTGGTATCTGCAGTTGCATATCTGCAACAGATTTTATCCTGAGTTGAGTTTTAACTCTTCTGAGGCTGAGACAAAATCTAAAAACACACCCCCCTCCCTATTTTTTTAAAGATTATTTATTTATTTATTTATCTGAAAGGCAGAGTTATAAAAAGAGAGAGGGGGAGTGAGGGAGAGAGAGGAAGAGGGAGAGGTCTTCTATTTGCTGGTTCACTCCCCAATTGGCTGCAACTGCCGGAGCTGCGCTGATCTGAAGCCCGGCAGCCGGGACTCGAGCCGGCGCCTATATGGGATGCTAGCACTACAGGCAGTGGCTTCACCCGCAGGCTGCAGCGCTGGCCCGAAGTGATTCTTTCTGATAAGGAGATGCAGCAGAAAGCTTCTGATCTGAGTCTCCCCTGGGAGGGTAAATTTGATGGAAGACTGAGGGAAAGGTATTTTAAACTGGAGAGACAATGCTAGTGTGGTCATGGGAGTACCTTTGAAACCTTTCAAAACTTTTAGACCTTGGATAAAATTAATTCATCATGTTAGGTAGAGGTATCCTTGGTATAAGGAAAATGGTCTGTCGAAGGTAAAATGACTCTGGCTTTCTAAAAAGACGATTACTTACAAGGTTGTGTTTGGTTTTTGAGAATTAAATGGTTGTTTCTTATTAATCGGATTAACTAGATAAAGTTAATATAAAAATAAGCTTTCAAAGCACTGACTGGTCATCACTTGTTGATAGAAGATAATTTAAAAAGGTAGAAAATTAAATCAAAAGTTAAGTTTATTTTGGCACACATTTTTTTTTCAAATAAACACCTAGTTTTTTTATAGTATATAGTTTTCATGAACTTTCAGGAGACCTTTCATAAACATGGATTTAAGTGGTTATTTTTGCACCAAAATAAACTTATATCCTCTTTACAATTTTTTAAAAAGATTATTTATTTTAAAAGTGAGAGTTAACAGAGAAAGAGGGAGACAGAGAGAGGTCTTCCATCATTTGGTTCATTCCTGAGATGGCTGCAATGGCCAGCCCTGGACCAGGCTGAAGCCAGGAGCCAGGAGCTTCATCTGGGTCTCCCAAGTGAGTGCAGGGGTCTAAACACTTGGGCCACCTTCCCCTGTTTTCCTAGGCCATCAGCAGGGAAGTAGATCAGAAGTAGAGGAGCCAGAATGTGAATGGGCACTGATATGAGATGTGGGTGTTACAGGCAGCAGATTTACTTGCTAAGCCACACGGGCACCTAAACTTACCTTTTAATTCCATTTGCCACAAACTTTTTTTCTCACAAACCGAAAAACAAGAGATCCTGTGCCCCTCTGCTGGTTCACTCTCCAAACCTGCAATTGCCTAGCCTGGGCCCACAAACTCAATCCAAGGCTCCCATGTGGATGGCAGGAACCCAGTTCCTTGAGCCATCACTTGGTACTCCCAGTGACTGCATTAGCAGGAAGCTGGGGTCACGAGCTGGAGTGTTAAACCCAGACACTTTGAAATGGGATGCAAGCCTGCTAACTGACCTTTTAACCACTAGGCCAAACTCCCACCCCTCCACACACTTTTTGAAGTACCCTTATTTTAGGTAGCAAGCTACCAGCTACGTTGTAGGTTAACTACTTATCTGAAATATAGCTTGAAATAAAATTTTTTGTTATATCTAATTCTGTTTAAGACACAAGTATCTGTTTTATGGAAAAAAAAACACTACTTTGCATATTTGGATCACTTTGAATAGATGTAGTTTGAATTTGCTGAAGACACAGAAGCTGTTTACGTAGATAAAATTTAAAGAAGGCAGTCAGCAGACATTCGGCACAGCAGTTAAGATGCTGTTGGGGACAATATTGGAATGCCTGGTTTGAGTCCCAGCTCCTCAGCTTCTGATCCAGCTCCCTGTTGCTGTGCACTCTGAGAGGCATCAGGTGATGACTCAAGTACCTAGGTGTGTCCCACACACAGGGGAGACCCATATGGAGTTCCAGGCTTCTGGGTTAGACTTGGCCCGGCCTTGGCTGTTGTGAACATTTTAGGAGCAAACCAGTAGATGGAGAGATCTTTCTCTGTCTTTTAAATAAAATAAAAATAAATTTTAAAACTAAATTTAAAATCTCTATATATACACTGAATAGTGAGCATTGTAGATAGGAATTGCAAAGGTGAAGTAATTCATCTCCATACGGTGATCTGTGGGTGTTTGTTTTGCTTTCTACCCCCAAAAATGCCTTAAAATTGGAGGTCAGAAATAACATACACGCAAGGGAATTTTGAATTTGGATTTAAAGTTTATGAGCCAGCTAGGAGATTCCAGCACTGGGAACCGACATCTCAGCTCCACTCTGCCACCTTGTGTTCTCTTGGGAAAGTTATTTTTAATGTCCGTGATTGGTATATCACGTATGTAAAAGAGTCCTTAGCTTTAGCTTGTTTCACAGGATAATTTATGAGGCAAATGAATAAAGCTTAAGGTGTGAAATCATTATACATTTGTTGAATTGTAAGAAAGTTACTTCTAGGCTGGCGCTGCGGCTCACTAGGCTAATCCTCCGCCTTGCGGTGCTGGCACACCGGGTTCTAGTCCGGTCGGGGCGCCGGATTCTGTCCCGGTTGCCCCTTTTCCAGGCCAGCTCCCTGCTGTGGCCAGGGAGTGCAGTGGAGGATGGCCCAAGTGCTTGGGCCCTGCACCCCATGGGAGACCAGGATGAGTACCTGGCTCCTGCCATCGGATCAGCGTGGTGCGCCGGCCGCAGCGCGCTGGCTGCGGCAGCCATTGGAGGGTGAACCAACGGCAAAGGAAGACCTTTCTCTCTGTCTCTCTCTCTCACTATCCACTCTGCCTGTCAAAAAATTTGAATAGCGTACACTCCCTACAAAAAAAAAAAAAAGACAGTTACTTCTGAAAGGCATATGCTAGATTTTACAATTGATAGGTGATCAGAACATTGGACATCAGTTGGATAGGGGATCGGGCAAATTATTCACTGAACATAGCCACAGTCTCCTTTGAGCTGAAGTTTTGATCTTGCCTTCTGTAGTGCAGCATGATTTTTAGTGTGTGCTCTTTCTCTTTCAGGTGGTCCGAACTGAGAAGAACAGTTTGAACAACCGATTCTTGCCCTGGAATGAAATTGAGACAGAGGCTATCCTGTCTATTGACGATGATGCTCACCTTCGCCACGATGAGATCATGTTTGGATTTCGGTGAGGGACTACTTTGCAAGAAGGAAACGCTTGACTTTGCAAGTGGCAGAAACCAACTCAGACCTGGATTAGGCAGCAAAATGAATTTCTGCCCCTTTCTTAGAGGTAGAAAGGGGTGATGTAGGACATGGCTGGATCCAGAGTCTCAGTTGGTCTTGGAGGATTTCGTTTCTCTTGCTCTCTAGGTTCTGCTGTGCCTTGGATAGGCTCTTCCTCTGTGGCCAGGAGGATGGAATTCTTAGGTCGGTCGGACCAGGGTTGCTGCCTGCTCTTAGAACTACAAGTATAAGGAGACTTTAGAAATTCATGGAAAATAGAGTTAGTTGATTTTGGCGTAGAAAACTTTAGAATTCATGCGTCTGAGAGTTCTTCAAAAAGTTCATGAAAATAATGCATATTATAAAAAAGTTATACTTCTCAAAAATTTCTTAGTACCAAAATTTATCTTTGAATTCTGAATATCCACAAGCTTTCTGAAGTACTCTCACATACCATCCTCAAATCCAAACCTCAAGCTGTGACTGGAGACAAGGGCTAGTTCTCAAAGCAAAATTGTAGGTTTTTGTTAGAGCACTGGGAAGTGATTCCCTGGCAGCTAGAAGCAGCATACTGCTATGTGATATGTTGGGACAGTGGAATATGGCCAGAGTACTGGATCCAAAATGATTTCAAGATAGATGGGTTTAGGCCGGCGCTGCGGCTCACTTGGCTAACTCTCCTCCTGCAGCGCCAGCACCCTGAGTTCTAGTCCCGGTCTCGGCGCTGGTTCTGTCCCGGTTCCTCCTCTTCCAGTCCAGCTCTCTGCTGTGGCCCGGGAAGGCAGTGGAGGATGGCCCAAGTGCTTGGGCCCTGCACCCACATGGGAGACCAGGAGGAAGCACCTGGCTTCTGGCTTTGGATTGGTGCAGCACGCAGGCCGTGGCGGCCATTTGGGGGGTGAACCAACGGAAGGAAGACCTTTCTCTCTGTCTCGCTCTCACTGTCTAACTCTGCCTGTCAAAAAAAAAAAAAAAAAAAAAAAAAAAAGATGGATGGGTTTGAAGCAGAGCTCCAAGAGCAAAAAGGAGGAGGTGGTGGTGGTGTTGGCCACTGCTGCTGCTTACCATTTGTTGACCCTGTGCTGTGTGTCAGGGACTAGCTGAGTACTGTGTCCGGTTTATCTCCGTGATCCTCCATCAACTACAACTTGCATCACCAAGTTGTAGTTATTTCCATGTATGTAGAAGTAATTGAGATCCAAAAGAACAAAGCTATGCAGACAAAAAGTGGCAGACAGAGCTAGGACACAATGCATGTTTGCCTAACTCCAGAGCTTCCATTCAGCCACTTAATTGTGCTGCTTTCTTGAATCTTCAAAGTTGCTATTAGATACTAAGCATCCCACTGAGGGCACACTGCAGGGAAGAGGATGGAGTAGATCAGGGCCACTCGAACTGAGTCGTGGACTGGGATGTGGATCCAGGGACAGTTTGTGGTGTGTCACAGCGAGGAAAGTTCAAAACGTGAGAGTAAGCCTTTAGAAACTTTTAAAGCAGCTTGACATTTTCTGTGACACCGAAGTGTGTGATCATTTTTTTGTACAACTCATTTTTTGGGTGTCATTTATTGAATATAATTTGTATGCTCGACGTGTCCCGAGGGTCAGGCTGCGGGTCTCTCCTTGGAGCGGCGCAAGAGCGGAGCGAAAGCTGCGGCGCTGGGGCCATGGCAGGACAGGCATTTAGGAAGTTTCTTCTGCTCTTTGACCGCGTCTTGGTGGAGAGGAGCACCGCGGAAACAGTAACCAAAGGAGGCATTATGCTCCCTGAAAAATCTCAAGGAAAAGTATTGCAAGCAACGGTAGTAGCTGTTGGATCAGGCTCTAAAGGAAAGGGTGGAGAGATTCAACCAGTTAGTGTGAAAGTTGGAGATAAAGTTCTTCTTCCAGAATATGGAGTCACTAAAGTAGTTCTAGACGACAAGGATTATTTTCTATTTAGAGATGGTGACATCCTTGGAAAATATGTAGATTGAAATCTCTGAAACAGCATCACATGAAGCTTCCCATTCCATTGAAGTTCTGAAATCTTTTCATCATGTAAATAATTTCCATGTCTCTTTTATAATAAACTAATGCTATCTAAAACAAAACAAACAAACAAAAATTTGTATGCTCTACAGTTCACACATGTAAGTATACAGTTCACTGGATAGTATTCAGAGGACTGCGTATTCAGACAGTTGTGCAACTGTCACCATAGTCAAGTTTAGAACTTCTCAGCGCCACCAGAAGAAATCCTCTGCCCGTTAGCAGTACCTCCCCATTTTCTTCCAACCCCTCAGGATGCTCTGCAACCACCAGTGTCTGTAGATTGCCCTCTCCTGCACCAACAATTTTTTTTTAAATATTTATTTGAAAGGCAGAGTTACAGGGGCAGAGAGAGAGAAAGAGAGTTCGATTGATCTTCCACCTGCTGGTTCGCTCCCCATCTGGCTGCAACAGCTGGAGCTGGGCTGATCCGAAGCCAGTTTTTATATGAGCATTTTTTGTTCTATACATCTCGGAGTGGAAGGGCTGGATTGGCCATTTGTATATCTTCTTGGGAGGAATAGCTGGTCTGTTTTTGTTTAGGTGGTCTTTTTATTGTAAGAATTCTTCATATGCATATATTCTGGATGCAAGCCCCTCATCAGAATGAGTTGCAAATATTTTCTCCCATTCTGTGGATTGTTTTTTCATTTTCTTGATGGTGTTATTAGAGCAGATTTTTACATTTTGATGTACTCTCATTTATTTATTTTTTCTTTGTGCTTTTGGTTTCTTAGATAAAAAATCATGCACATTGTGGCTTAGCGGGTTAAGCCACCACCTGTGGCTTAACCAGCATCCCATATGGGCACTGGTTTGTGTCCCAGCACAGAGTTAGAGAGAGAGAACAGGGAGGGAGACAGATCTTACATCTGCTAGTTCACTCCACAAATGGCCACAATGGCCAGGGCTAGGCCAGGCCAAAGCCAGGAGTCAGGAGCTTTATCCAGGTCTCCTACATGGGTGGCAGGGGCCCAAGCACTTGGACCATCTTCCGCTGTTTTCTCAGGCACAGTAGCAGGAAGCTGGATAAGAAGTGGAGCAGCTGCCACTTGAACTGGTACCCATATGGGATGCTGGCATATGCAGGCAGTGGCTCAACCCACTAAGCCACAATGCCAGCTCTGTGACTTCTTCTCTGTATTCCTCTTGTGTTCAGTGAATGCCAGCCTGACCTGCCTAGGCTTTATTTTCTTTGTGTTTATAAGTAAGGAGAGATTTGACACATTTATTTTTTAAATATTTATTTGAGAGGCAGAGTTACAAACAGAGAGAGGGAGAGACAGAGAGAAAGGTCTTCCATCTACTGGTTCATTCCCCAAATGGCCACAATGGCCAGAGCTGAGCTGATCTGAAGCCAGGAGCTTCTTTCAGGTCTCCCACGTGGGCACAGGGGCCCAAGGACTTGGGCCATCTGCCGCTGCTTTCCCAGGCCATCGCAGAGAGCTGGATCGGAAATGGAGCTGCCAGGACTTGAACCAGCACCCACAGAACTGCAGGCAATGGCTTTACCTGCTATACCACAGCTGGCCCAGGGTACATTTCTTATAAGTTAGAATATCAGTTCTTCCTCTCCCCATCCCAACTGTTCCCATTTCCTTTGACTTCCTTGCCTTGCTGTGATTAAAAAACAAAAATCGGGACTGGCAATGTAGTGCAGCATGTTAGCTGCTGCCTGCCATGCTGGCATCCCATATAAGCGCCAATTTGAGTCCTGGCTACTTCCAATCTGGCTCCCTACTAATGCGCCTGGGAAAGCAGCAGAACATGGCCCAAAAAGCCTGGGCCCCTGCCACCCACATAGCAGACCTGAATGGAGTTCCAGGCTTCTGGTTTTGACCTGGCCCAGCCTAGGCTGTTGTGGCTGTTTGGGGAGTGAACCAGCAGATGGAAGAGTTCTCCCTCGCTCTGTCTCTGCCTCTAACTCTTCCTTTCAAATAATTAAGTAAATTACAAAGAAAATATATCGACAGCAGGCAGCCTCTGGCTGTCCTGTGCACTGCTCCCTTGCAGTGTGTTCAGGAAATCCAACCCTGACTGCTCTGGGGAATCATTTCACCACTGTGCCAACGGCCTCAATCCGTTGCTTCCTGCAATGTTCAGCCTGGCCCAGCCCTAGCTGTTGTGACCGGTTCAATAGATGGAAGATTGATCGATTGATCTTTTTCTCTTCTCTGCTCCTCTGCCTTTCAAATATGTAAATAAATGAGTCTTTTAAAAATGAATAGATACAATTTAAAACAGTCCTTCTAAACTTGGGTATGTTCCTTTGTACATGATAATAAAATAGCCAGCTCTCTCCACCTGTTTTTATGAAAGGAAGAAAGCTATGTAATGACTCCAGGAATGGCCTTCACCATTGCATATGTTGGTGGTGGGAAGGGGGAGTGTACTTCTGGTACCACATGACACAGTTTAGCGTATCCAGCAGGACTAGGAGCTGGGCACAGAATCTTGGGTGTTAACAGGAGAATTGGCATTCATTCCAAATCCCAGGAATGATTTAGATAAGAAGACCTAGCTTTGGCCGGCGCCATGGCTCACTAGGCTAATCCTCCACCTTGCAGCGCCGGCACACCGGGTTCTAGTCCCAGTTGGGGCACCAGATTCTGTCCCGGTTGCCCTTCTTCCAGGCCAGCTGTCTGCTGTGGCCAGGGAGTGCAGTGGAGGATGGCCCAAGTGCTTGGGCCCTGCACCCCATGGGAGACCAGGAGAAGTACCTGGCTCCTGCCATCGGATCAGCGCGGTGCACCGGCCGCAGCACGCTGGCTGCGGCGGCCATTGGAGGGTGAACCAATGGCAAAGGAAGACCTTTCTCTCTGTCTCTCTCTCTCACTGTCCACTCTGCCTGTCAAAAAAAAAAAAAAAAAAAAAAAAAAAAAAAAAAAAAAAGAAGAAGAAGAAGAAGAAGACCTAGCTTTGATGAATTTGAAGTTTATTAAAATAGATGGTGTTTGTGATCTTCCATGGCTCCTGACTGAGGAAGACTTTGACCTTCTCTGTACCATTTCTCAACAGATTTCCAGGTGGCGACAGGACACTGGAAAGTCTTTTAAAGTGTTTCTTAGCAACTATTCAAAATTTGAGGTTTGACCTCTAGAAATGGAGCTGTGAATCTACCTGTACATCCTAACTTTTTCTCATCTTCTTTGCTCATTTGTTTGGGCATCCTTTGAGCTAAAATCTTCCTCTTACTAATCTCTCCAATTTACTTATTTCACCTGAGAGGGAGTAAAACAGACCTAGATTCAAGTGGAAAAGGTAAATATAAGAATTCCTCCCTCTGACAAAAGATTGAGTTTGATTACCTTCAACTTACTAAGAAAGAGGCAAAGAAGTTCTTACTGACATGAGAGAGAAAGGAGACACCCAAGAAAATGGAAAACATGTCCACACAGAGACTACAGGAATAGTTGTGCAGCATTGTTTATAATAGTCAGTAGTGGAAACACCAAAAAGGATAAAGAAGAGGGGGCTCTGAAAAATTCATGGAAAACAGAATTAAGGGATAAATTTATTTTAGTACAAAAAAAATCTTGAAATTCATGTATAGTTTTTTTTCATGCATTTTTGTTGAAACTTTGAAGACCCTTTATACTTTGTGTGATTCTGCTAGATAAGGTACTTAAGAGTAGTTAACTTCATAGGGCAGTGGTGGTTTCTATGGGCTGGGGGAAGTGGGAGGGGAATGGGGAGTTAGTGCCTTGTGGGAACAGAGGTTAAGTTGGGAAAGGTGATAAAGTTCTGGAGATGGTTGCACAGCAATGCAGATATATATATTTCTTACCATGGTTTAAAAAAAAAAAACACCTATCAGTTGTCTAAAAACTGCCCCCTAGAAGGGTATTGTATTGTGATAGAGGTTGTGATTTGTCATCTACTGGACTGGGTTAGCTGCTTTCAAACTTATTAGGAAAAGAATGTTTTTGAAATGAAATCTTCTATGTTTTGGGAATTGAAATTCCCTGTAAATGGCAGGGGAATTTCTCTGGCAGTTTAAAGTCTTTCTGCAGGACTGCTGGGGCCTGTGGAACTCTTAAGTGATTTCAGCTTTTCAATTTTAGCCGATAGAACTGGAGACAGATTTTATTTGTTCTACCTTGCCTGTAAATTTGGAGATGACATAAAAGTTTACCCTGAAACATATTGAATTCTCAGTTCCTTGGATTTAATGAAAGCTTTCATTTGTAGACCATTTTTCATGATACAGATTTCTCCCTCAGCTTTGTTCAAATTAGATATTAGGTCTGGTTTTTTTTTTTTTTTGGACAGGCAGAGTGGACAGTGAGAGAGAGACAGAGAGAGAAAGGTCTTTCTCTGCCATTGGTTCACCCAGTGGCTGCCGCGGCCGGTGCACTGTGGCCGGTGCACTGTGCAGATCCAAAGCTAGGAGCCAGGTGCTTCTCCTGGTCTCCCATGGGGTGCAGGGCCCAAGCACTTGGGCCATCCTCCACTGCCTTCCCAGGCCACAGCAGAGAGCTGGCCTGGAAGAGGGGCAACCAGGACAGAATCCGGCGCCCTGACCAGGACTAGAACCCGGTGTGCTGGTGCCGCAGGTGGAGGATTAGCCTATTGAGTTGCGGCGCCGGCCAGGTCTGGTACTTTTTATTCTAGGCGTGGTCTCCTGTGGTTAAACAAGTGGTCTTCGGGTGGGTGTTTGGCATAGTGATTAGGATATTGGTTGGGATACCCACACCCTATCATCAAAGTGCCTGGGTTCAAGTCCTGGTTCCCCTTCTTATTCCTGGTTAATACTGATGTACACCTTGGGAGGCAGTCCATGATGACTCAAGTACTTGGGTACCTACCACCCATGTGGTGGAGACCCAGATTGAGTTCAGCTCCTGGCTTCTGCCTGGCCCAGCCCCAGCTGTTGTAGGCATTTGAGGAGAAAATGAGTAGATGGGACATCTCTCTGTCTCTGTGTATGTCTCCTGTCTTTTTTTTTTTTTTTTTAAGATTGATTTTATTTATTTGAAATACAGAGTTACAGAGAGAGGTAGAGACAGAAAGAGAGGTTTTCCATCTGCTGGTTCACTCTCCAGATGGCTGCAATGGCTGAAGCTGAGCCGATCTGAAGCCAGGAACCATGAACTTCTTCCTGGTCTCCCACATGGGTGCAAGGGCCCAAGGACTTGGGCCATCCTCTACTGCTTTCCCAGGCCATAGCAGAGAGCTGGATCGGAAGAAGAGCAGCTGGGACTAGGACTAGAACTGGTCCCCATATGGGATACTAGCACTTCAGGCCAGGGTGTTAACCTGCTGCGCCACAGCGCCGACCCCTGTCTCCTGTCTTTCAAATCAATAAACAACCCTAATGGTGTCTAAAAGTTTTTCATTGTATGCCCTCTCAATGAAAGTTCAGTGTGTAGAATATACATAAATTATGTATGTCCGTCTTTTGCAGTTGATTGTTGTATATAACCCATTTTATTTCCTTTTACTCTTTGCCTCAGGGCTGGAGAGATACTGGCTGCCAGATAATGAAATGGGCAGGTGCTTACTAAGGAAGGTGTACATGACACAGTTTATGTGGTGTGTGGTAGATTTTGATATTTAACAATAAGAGGACAAAAAGGAAAAACTTGCAGGATAGATAGTGATTTTAAACATTTTGATCATCTTAGTGTTTGGTACTCAGGTGTGTATATGTGTGCTTGTATTTTTGAGGGTTTGGAGAGAAGCTCGTGACCGCATCGTGGGCTTTCCTGGCCGATACCATGCTTGGGACATCCCTCATCAGTCCTGGCTGTACAACTCCAACTACTCCTGTGAGCTGTCCATGGTGCTGACAGGTGCTGCCTTCTTTCACAAGGTGAGACAAAGGTCAAGAATGGCATCAACTTGATAAGAACTGAGTCTTCTTGTAGTAGTGACATGGTGCCCTCTGGTTAGTTCTTCTGCTTTTTGTAGCCCCTTTTATGCAAGAAGGAAGCTGTTTCTGTTTTTAAGGAAATGATCAGGAGCTGGCGTTGTGATGCAGCAGATTAAGCCATCACCTGCTACACCAGCATCCAGTGTTGGATGTGCTGGTTCCAGTCCTTGCTGCCAAGCTTCTGATCCAGCTCCCTGCTAATGCACCTGGGAAGGCAGCAGAATGTGACCCAAGTACTTGGGCTCCTGCTTCCCGTGTGGGAGACCTGAATGGAGTTCTGGCTCCTGGCTTCAGAGCTGTTGGAGCCATTTGGTGAATGAATCAGCAATGGAAGATCTTTTTTAAAAAAATGACCAAGATACTTAGAACAACTCTGTCTAGAACAAAACGTCTGGATAAGAGGACTGCCTGTACAATTGCTAGGATGCCATCAGGAAAACCAGTGTATCTCTCCGGGTATTTGCCTCTGCAAAACTGATGGCATTGAGCTGAAAAGCTTCAGATACTTGCCGAGTCAGCACTGCCATTCCAGTCGTGGTGCAGCCAACACAAGGCCGAACTTGGGCTTCTCTGACTCAGACAGACTCCTGCTGTGCCAGGCCCAGCCTCGAGCTCTGTGGTGACTGCCAGTTCAGCTTGTTTCCTCAGAACTTGTCACTGCCATCCACTAGCCTCCTAGTTATTCCTTCATGGTAAAGACACAGGCACCTGGCTGTGCTGTGACTCCACACCCTCTCATCCTGGGCACTGCAGTGTCTTCACGGAGACGTGCATCCAGTCTTTCCTGTGCACGGGGACGTTTCCTAGGCCCTAGCCTCTGCTCTTCCTCTGACTTTGTGTTTCCCCGGGCATGCTGCTCTGGTACCCCCGAGGTTTTATGGCATCTGAAGCTGATGATTTTTATGTATATATTCCTGTCTTGGTCTTTCATAAGTTTTTTTAAAGGCTTATTTTTTATTTATTTGAAAAGCACAATTATGGAACGGCAGAGAGAGAGAGAGCGAGTGAGCGAGCGCAAGAGCGAGAGTGCACCATCTTCCATCCGCTGGTTCACTTCCCAAGTGGCCACAACAGCTGGAGCTGGGCCGATCTGAAGCCAGGAGTTTCTTCCGGGTCTCCCACATGGGTACATCTAAGGCCCATCTTCTACTGCTTTCCCAGGCCACAACAGAGAGCTGGATCAGAAATGGAGTAGCTGGGACTTGAACCAGCTCCCACATGGGATGCTGGCAGTGCAGGTGGTGGCTTTACCCCTTACGCCACAGTGCTGGCTCTTTCATAAGCTTTTACATTCAGTTGTTCTAGGATATTTCCTTTGTGTCCCTCAGATACTTCAAACTGAACTTTTCATGGAAAATTTAATATTTCTCCCTGACTCCTTCAAACCTTCCCCCTCATATTTCATATCTCAGATGGTAGCATCCTGCGAGTCACTTCAAATAGAACCCAAAGGTCATTTTATTAGGGACATTCAGAAGAAGCCTAAGAAATCTTAAATTTTTAGGTTGTTTTTTTCTTTTAAAACTTTGTGTGTAAAACTGATACATCCACTCATTTTTGAACTTCATCCTAGTGCTTACTTTCCAAACTGGGGGAGAGGGCCTTGATTGGTTTTAGGATTACAAGTGGGGTAGGAGGAGCTGAATGTTAGTTAGAAGCTGGAGAGGAAACCATGTCTAACTAGGAGTCAACTTATTTTCACCTTCGTTCAACTCAGAAGAAGCCACTGTTGCTGGCGGTGTCCATTCATACCTTGAGAATGTGCTTGTCTGCTGAAAAATCTGCATTCTCAGACTCTGATCTTTTCAAACTCTGATTCAGGCATCTTTCGGGTGATCACTGCCTCATACATAGAGTGTTAATTTTTTTTTAAAGATTTATTTATTTATTTGAAAGAGTTACACAGAGAGAGAAGGAGAGGCAGAGGAGAGAGAGAGGTCTTCCATCCACTAGTTCACTCCCAATTGGCCACAACTGTTGGAGCTATGCCAATCCGAAGCCAGGAGCCAGGAACCTCCTCCAGGTCTCCCACACGGTGCAGGGGCCCAAGGACTTGGGCCATCTTCTACTGCTTTCCCAGGCCACAGCAGAGAGCTGGATTGGAAATAGAGCCGCCGGGACTCAAACCAGTGCCCACATGGGATGCCACAGTGCTGGCCCCGGCTGCTCTTCTGATCCAGCTCTTGGCTATGGCCTGGGAAAGCAGTAGAAGATGGCCCAAATCCTTGGGCCCCTGCTACTCATGTGGGAGACCAGGATGGAGTTCTGGTTATATTGTTCTACTGAACCATTGTCTGACCTAGTTTAACAAATCTTTGTATTAGTTTCAACGTTGTTGATATGCCAAGGAGATGACATGAAATTCTGTTTCTCTGGCTGATAAAGGTAGTTTGAGTGGGAGAACTCTTCATTGCAGAAGAGCTGTGTTGCAGGATGTTCAGCATACCTGGCTTCAACTGCTTAAATGCTGCTAGTGCTTCCTGTTACTCTCTCCACCCCGACTTCCAAACAGCCCCAGACATGCATGTTTTTTGTGTTTTGCTGAAAGCCAAAGAATTGTGGCCTCTAACTACATATGGGTTCTTTTTCTTACCCTGACAGTATTATGCCTACCTGTATTCTTATGTGATGCCCCAGGCCATCCGAGATATGGTGGATGAATACATCAACTGTGAGGACATTGCCATGAACTTCCTTGTCTCCCACATCACTCGGAAACCCCCTATCAAGGTGAGGGCTCGCTCCTACAGGCCTGTGGATGCATGCATGCTAATTCACTGACTTTCACAGTATAGAACCATGACATGGCCCTGAGACCTCATCTGTACTGTAGGGATGATGATGTACACTACCTGCTGGGACTGTTTGTAGGGTTAAATGAGTTGTTAATACAGGGCCTCTTTAGTCCTAAGGCCAGTGAATAGAATTCAGAGGGTTGGAACTTGAGTGGGAAAGATTTGTCATCTTTATTCATCAGTAACTAGGATTTAGTGTTGCCTTCAATTACAAAACAGCTTGTAATTCTTAAGAATATTTGTAGTAACAGTGTCTTGTTACTAATAGAAATCACAGGTATGTTTCATACCACATTGCATTTGTTGTCATCTATCAGAATATTGTTTCTGCTCATCACTGCTTTGAACTTATGGTAGTTATTAACCTTTTCCCTCTTATGCATTAATAAGAGGGCACATACATTACTGTATTTCAACAGAACGTGTTTGCTGTGTAAAACCATGTGTTTTATATTATGTACTTAACAAAGTCCAGAGGCCTTACCAGACTGCTAAATTGGAGGTAGGGAAGGAATGTGCATCAAACAACTTGAGAATTTTTATATATTTAATATGTAGGTAAAGTTCTAAGAGTAGTGCTGGCACCTAATAAGTCTTCTTTTAATATGTTAATTTGCTTAAAAACCAGTGTACTCTCAGAATGCTGGAAATTTTTGTTCTTTGTCTTTAAGTTGCTGAATACATTTGGGTCAGAATAAACCTGTTTCCTATTTGGCACACACAGAACCCAGTTCCATCACCCTTTCTGCCATTATTGTAGTCTCAGGCAGCAACTTAGAGCAGCTGGTCACAGGATCTTGTTGGGCCTTACAGAAGCAGGTGCTACTAGGCCTGGTAAGGGTCTTGCAGTGATAATGCTTATCACTGTCAATTCAAGTGAATGATATTTATGGCATGGATTGACACGTTCTTGGAGATTTTCTATTCTTTTATTATGAGTTCAGTTGAATAGTAGATCATAAGATATCATCCATGAAAATTTATTAAGATCAACAAACTTATTAAGGTCATACTTTCATTACTGTCAAAAAGGAACATATTATTTAATTTGATAAAATACTAACTTTTCTTTCGTGTCATATTGCCATGAGTGAATAATTATTGTGTGCATATTTCATTCTTCTTACATTTTGAAGGTAAATTCTAGACTATCTACCACTAAGTATCCATCATATACTAGCAGCAATAATCAAATCTCTCTAGGGAGCTGGTATTTAGCCTGGTGGTTAAGACTTCTGCTTCTCATATCAGAGTACCTGGGTTCACTCTTCTGCTTAGCTCCTCACTCCAGCTTCCTTCTAATATAGACCTCGGGAGGCAGCCATGATGGCTCAGGTAAGTGGGTTCCTGCCACTCCCACAGGAGAGATGGATTGTGTTCCTGGCTTTGGCCCAACCCTGGCCGTAGTGGGCATTTCGGCATTTGGACAGTAAACCAGCAGATAGGAGTTCATTCTCATTTTCTGCCCCCCATACCTCTTTCTCTCTCTCTCAAATAGATAATTTTTACTTATCTTTCGTGGTAAGCATAGTGGTGACCAGAGAATGCTGGTTCCAAGCCAAAAAGCATGGCAAAGAGAGAGAAATGCATTTGGGGCCTTACGTATCCACTTAGACCTAAGACTTGTTCAAGTCTTCCTCCCGGTGGTTCACCCCCCAAATGGCCGCTACGGCTGGTGCTGCGCCGATCCAAAGCCAGGAGCCAGGTGCTTCCTCCTGGTCTCCCATGGGGTGCAGGGCCCAAGCACTTGGGCCATCCTCCACTGCCTTCCCGGGCCACAGCAGAGAGCTGGCCTGGAAGAGGGGCAACCGGGACTAGAACCCAGTGCCCATATGGGATGCTGGCGCCACAGGCAGTGGATTAACTAAGTGAGCCACGGTGCCAGCCCCTACTTTCTAGTATTTTATTTCTGATGCTTGAAATGGTATTTGTAAGTAAAGTGGGCCTGTGTTTTTCCTTTCTGTTATTTATTTGAGAGGCAGAGTTACAGACAGTGAGAGGAAGAGACAGAGAGAAAGGTCTTCGATCTGCTGGTTCATTCCCCAGATGGCCACAACAGCTGGAGCTGAGCCACTCTGAAGTTAGGAGCCAGGAGTTTCTTCCAGGTCTCCCATGTGGGTGCAAGGGCAAAAGTGCTTGTGCCATGTTTCCCAGACCACAGCAGAGAGCTGGATCAGAAGAGGAGCAGCCAGGACTAGAACCTGCACCCATATGGGATGCCAGTGCTGCAGGCGGAGGATCAACCTACTGTGCCACAGCGCCGGCCCCTGGGAAATTGTTTTAATATTGGAACGTGCACCTGTGAATATGTTCCTATTTGGAAATAGAGTCTTTGCAGATGTAAATAAGTTAAAGTCATACTGGAGTAGGGTGGACCCTCAATTCAATATGACAGATGCCTTTCTAAGAAGAGGAGACACAGAAACACAAATGCAGGAAGAGCGCGGACAGTGGAGGCAGAGATCGACTATGCTTGAGCCAAAAGTGCCTGCAGCACCGAAAGCTGACAGAGGTGTGGAGCTGATTTTCCCCATAGGCCTTCAGGAAGAGGATGGACCTGCCGACACCTTGATTTCTGATTTCTGGCCTTTTGACCTCAGAAGCACTGCGTTTACAGGGAAGAGGAACGAGCCAGGAAGGAGTGACGGAGGGCCGCAGACTTCTTTGTTCCTACAGCCAGGAGGGCTGACAGCCTGCTTGACTGCCGGTGGGTTAGGTACTGCAGCCGAGAAGAGGAAAGACACTGCCCATGTCTCAGGCCCACTCAGGCCTGGGCGGGGAGCCTGCTGGGTTCCGCAGCACAGGGCCACTTCCTCAGGACTGCTGCCCCTTTGTCTCGGAAGACAGATCGTTGAGCCATAGAGGCTGATTCTCAGGCCTTGAAATCTAATGGAATCTGCTCTGCTGGGTGTGGACTTGATTGAGACCCAGAACCCCCTTTTTTCCTTCCTACTTCTCCATTTTGGCATGCGGTGTCTACTGTGTGCCTGTCCCACCACTGTCCTTTGAAGTAGTTGATGTGTCCTGGTACCCTGTGGGCTTCACAGGCCCACAGATAGAGAGGTATTCTGTGCGAGGGTGGAACTGATCCAGTTCCCATCATTTAGAAGATGAGATTTTGGTTACATTTGGATATGAATTTGGGCTTACAGGTGACGTTGGGATGGGTTAAGATTTTGAGGATGTTGGGGATGCAGTAAATGTCTCTTGCATGTGGAAGGATGTGGAATCTGAGGCACTGGAGGGCAGACAGGGTTGACTGGTCCCCTGACGTGATGTAAGCCCTAATCCCTAGCACTTGTGAATGTGCCTTATTTGGAAATAGGGTCTTTACACACACCATCAGGTTAAGACGAAGTCATACTGAGTCGATGACTGCTGTTCTTCTAAGAAGAAAAGACAGACTGGGCACAGAGGGAGAGCGCCAGAGCCGACAGGGTCAGAGACTACAGAGAGTGTCCCTGAGCCAAGGAACGCCAAGGATGGCAGCGACACCTGGAGCTGGGAGAGGCGTGGAGCAGAATCCCACCAGGAGCCCGCAGAGGGAGGATCCATCTGCTGCCTCTGACTTAGGCTTCGGGCTTCCGGGATAACTGTCATTGAACCGCTGAGTGTGTGGCAGTTTCTTAGGGCAGCCACAAGAACCTCACAAGAGTCACTGGCATGTCCTTACTGCTATTCATTTCATTGTTTTCCTTTATATTTTTATCACCTAAGTACATAACTCAAAACACTATAGCTTACATTTTAAAATCTTTTCATCTAAGATTTATTTTAAAAAGAATAGTTGGGGCCGGTGCTGTGGCATAGAGGGTTAATGCCCTGGCCTGAAGTGCCGGCATCCCATATGGGCACTGGTTTGAGTCCTGGCTGTTCCTCTTCCAATCCAGCTCTCTGCTATGGCCTGGGAAAGCAGTAGAAGATGGCCCAAGTCCTTGGACCCCTGCACCTGTGTGGGAGACTGGGAAGAGGCTCCTGACTTCTAAATTGGCCCAGCTCTGGCCGTTGTTGCGGCCATCTGGGGAGTGAACCCGTGGATGGAAGACCTCTCGCTTTCTCTCTGCCTCTCTGTAGCTCTACCTTTCAAATAAATAAATAAACTGAAAAAAAAAAATAATAGGTGAAGGCTTGCATTGACGGAGAAGTTGAGAAGGTTGTGGAACCCTCCTTCAGGTTTCCCGGGACCAGCACTTTGTTGTAGTGCTGTACAGTTGTCCAACTGGGGGAGCAGGACTGATGCAGCATTTTACCAACGTGTCCTTCCTCAGGCTTCCTTTGTTTTCACCCATGTCCTTGTTCTGTTGCAGGCTCAGTTTTGCCTGTTTGAAACTTTAGGTAAATGGCATCATGTGGTCATTTCTTTTCCATGCGTCTTCATCTTGCTTTCATGGTTTTCTGTCTTGTCAGTATTTTCTGTTCTGGGTAATATCTTAGGTATACTTTTTCATCAGGGACTTTGTCTTTATGCTCATCATTGAGAGTCTAATTTAATACACGTTCTGTTTAGTTCTTTTCTATGCCCATTAGGACTTGGTTTTTTGTTGGAACTTATCTTACTTTCAAGGTTCAGTTGTACATATTACATGCATTTATTGCTATAGTTATTCTCTTTTCTGTTGCTGTGACAGAGTGCCTGAGACAGGGTAACGTATGAAGACAAGAACATCATTTCTTATAGTGCTGGAGGCCGGGAAGTGCAGGGGCGAGGGGCTGCACCTGGTGAGGGCCTTCTTGCTGGTGGGGACTCTGCAGAGTGCCGAGTGGTGAGGCAGCAGGCGTGCTAGGGAGAGCTCGCCTGGGTGACAGACCCCCTCCCCCATCACTGGCGGATCACCTGCCTAAGCTCGCACTTCCCAGATGCCGTTACCACTTGGCTCTGGGCGGGGAGTTCCTCATGCATCACAGGCCGGGGCCCCGGCCAGACTGTCGCGTTCGCGCTCTGACAGTTCTCTTGTTCTGCAGTGTTTTGCCATCTGAGTCTTGCTTGTTTCTGCTGATGTGCCCTGATGTAGGTGATTCCCTTCTTGTGGGTTCTGCTTGAGATGATATTCTTCGAGGTTTTACTTAAGGCAGTTCTTTGAGCCTGAATTTCTGAACTTAATTCTGAGAGGATTTATATTTGCTTCGCTGCCTCTTAAAGCTGTGGTGGGCCCTGGGGCCTTTGCGGGACACCCAGGTAACAGAAATTCCTGCCTCAGCCTTGGGTGAGACCTGGGCTGGCTTTACATAGTCTTGGGGGTGACTTTCCCTCCTCCACCCAGAGCCGAGATTGAGAAGGAAACATCACCGTCTTTCTCTGCGCTCCCAGCACCCCACGCACCTCCCACCGGGTCTCAGTGTTTCCCAAGGCTGCAGGCAGACACGGGCCTTGTGGCCTCCCAGCCTGGTGAGAACAAGAGCTCCTCGACTCCGAGGGTTTCAGTTCTCGCTAGAAGCTCAGCCATATAGCTAAGGAGATGGTTCTTCCATTTCATCCTGCATTTTCAGGTGTTTGGTACCGAGGGCGGTTTCATACTGTTTGCTCTGCCCCATGGTTTGTAATGGCGTTGTTATAATTCCTACTTCGCCAGTTGCTTGCAATTTCCAAGTAAAAATACAGCAAGACTATAGTATAAGCCCTTCCTTTGTCTTTAAATATATTATTTTTATTAAGCATTGTTGTGATTACTTAACTAGTTCCTGCTTGGAAATTTCCCTGTATTTTTCTATGAAAAACACTGATAAGAGGAGCAACTTTGTCCCTACATCTCATGGTGCAGCCAGGATAAATATGAGAAGTAGAGTTACTGAGACATTAAACATTTCAAGGCTTTGCTATAAAGGTTAGAGCACTTGGGCAGAACGCCCCCGCCCCCAGGGTTTTGGACACATGCGTGGTAGGAGGGGCCCTGGGCGGGTCCCCTGGCCCCTGGCTCTTGGTGAGCGTAGCCACAGGGGCTCAGGGTCTTTCCCCTGTGAATGCAGTCCCCGGGGACTCAGCAGCTCCGCCGTGGAAATGGGAGCGGGGATGGGCTAAGTGGCAGGGTCTCTGTCGCTTGGCCTTACCACCCCAGTTCTCACCCTGTCTTTTCTTCCCTGTTCCCAGGTGACCTCGCGGTGGACTTTCCGTTGCCCGGGATGCCCTCAGGCCCTGTCACACGATGACTCCCACTTTCATGAGCGGCACAAGTGTATCAACTTTTTCGTCAAGGTGTATGGTTACATGCCCCTCCTGTACACCCAGTTCAGGGTGGACTCTGTGCTCTTCAAGACCCGCCTGCCCCACGACAAGACCAAGTGCTTCAAGTTCATCTAGGGGCGTGGCAAGTTCTGCGGAGAAGATGGGCAGAGTGAGGAGATGGTTCCTAAGGTTCCCAGGCATGGAAGGACCTTGGGCACATCTGCTGGGTAGGTGGCCCAGTCCTGTGTTGCAAGAGGCGGCGGGAAGAGTGGAGAGGAAGTAGCTGCCTTTACGGTGAAGTCAGCCACACTGGGCCTGGGCCCCCAGGCAGCAGCCCTGGGTCCCACACAGGGCACTGACGGATAGCTTACACTGAGGACCGTGGCGACTCCGGGGAATCGCGTAGTTCATAAGCCCAGGACAGCTGGTTTGTGGTTTTTAGATTCAGTAACAACTTTCATTATTTAAAGAGAAAGTTTCAGATTTGCCACTCAAGGTTTACTTATATGTGTGAGTGTGTATACGTATGTATGTGTGTTTACATGCACACACACTCACATACATATCTCTTTGGTAAGGGGAGTCCTACATTTTTCCCCGTCTCAGTGTGGCACCTACCAGGCTCCTTACGCTCTGTATTTTGGTGGCGATGGATCCTGGCGTTGTTACCTGGCTTATGGGTAAAGATCAGTTCCCTCGTCACCAAGAGAATCTGTGCAAGAAACCAGAAGGGATGGACGTGGCCATCTGTGGGGAGGGGACCTTGGAGAAGATAAGGCCTTCGGGCTCTTCCCTTGGCCTTCTCCTGGGCCCGTGGCCACCTGGAACCCCCACGCCCCTGTGCTGTAAGGCCTGGGGAGGATGGCACCACAGGGATGGTGGCGCTGCCTTGGGCTGGGTACAGTGGTTTTTGAGGCCAAGCTTATCCCACTGTTGGCGCCATCTCTCTCATTGGCTCTCTTATTGGAGAGAGAAGGTCGTGGAAGCCTGAAGACGGCACTCCCAAATGGCGTCTTGTCCTGCACTCCTGTTAAAACACATGTTGTGCTTTGGGCTCTGGGCTTTCCTCCAGTACTATCTCCTGAGTCAGAGAATAGGGGCTGTGGCAGGCTGCGCCTCCGTGTGGTCTGCAGGGCTTAGCTTAGGCTCCCTTCAGCGGAGAACAAGTGGCCCTGAGGATCCCACCTGGCTGCCCGGGAAGTCTTGCAGCAGGGCAGCTGCCGTGGGAGACGTAAACCCCTTGGTGAAATTCACCTTCCCCTCCACCTTCGTCTAGACCTCCATCCTGTGTTACCTATGGTTTTTGGACCCCTGATGCCAGGTTGGCTTTAGGTCCCCCCCAAGGTTTGGGATGTGCCAGTAAAATGAGAGGCTGTGATGTGCTATGGAAGGTCAAGTCCAGTCTTGGAATTGAACGCTCACACCCACGTTCTCACCGTCTGCTCCTTGTTCAAACGGCGGTTCCCTGGTTAAAACTGAACCAAGGAAACTCGATGTGTGGGGCGGTCGTGCGGGAATGAGGTGCGTGGTGGTGGCCTCGGTCAGGGATTGAACCGTGACTTCTGGTCTCCTCAGCCCCACGCTGTTGCGGTGGAGCTGAGTACAGAAGGTTTCCAGCAACTGGAGAGAAGCTCAGGTCTGTCCTGGTCGCGCACATGCCTTAAGCCGGTCGTCTTCCCAGACCTTGGCACCCTGTGCTGCTTGTTCTCCTCTGACCTGCCTCAGCCACATGGCTGCTCTTGGAGCGCCCGTCCTGAAGCGAGGCTCTTTGCTGTGGATACTGCCCAGCTGTGGGGCTGGCCTGGCCTGCGGGAGCGCTGCTCCTGGGAAGCAGAGCCAGGGCTGCTCCCAGGGCTGTCTCTCCGGATGCTCTCCCGGAGGCGCCTGCCTGGGAGACGCGACTGTGCTTCTCGGCAGCCAGCGAAGGGGCCCGGGCCCTGCCCTTCACCTGATGCTCCTTTCCCGACTTCGCGCTGATTCTTTTTAGCAGTAGCCTTCCCTCAGGGGAGCCAAAGAGTGTGGTGTTTGGAGGTATATATGTGGCTGCTATTGTTCCTTTTATAGTGAGGAACGTGTAAACTTCCTGGCACCTGGAGAGACGGGGTGAGGTCTGTGGTAGGACCCTCTTTGTGGAGCCAGATTCTTGGGTCCCCGGATGTTGCTGGCCCACCCACAAACAGCTGAGTGGTCTCAGGTTACGGACAGCATGGGGAGGCTGCAGAGAAGGCCGTGACGCCAGAGTGTCAGATGAGGCCAGCACCCTCCGGACCCAGGAGGAGACACTAAACCTGAAGGACTCGCAGCAGCAGGCGCTGGTGGACTCCATGTGCTGCTCCCAAATGCAAGGCAGGGGTGGCGTGGCACGCTGTGTGGGTAGGTGCTCCTGAGAGCAGCTGCCAGTCTGCAGGGTGCGATGGAGAGAGTCCCAGGGCCATGCCTTCCATGCTGCTCACTGTGTGGACCCCCCGAGCTGGGACTCCTCAACACGGGAAGGCAGCTGTGCAGGCCCCAGGGTCTGCTTGGCTCTCTGTAGGTCACATCTCATTCCTGCTCTCAGCATCCGGGGCCCAGGATTGGCCAGTGCGCCCTTCACTGTGAAGGCACTCCCCTAAGTGGCAGCCTCCCCAGGATGCCCCTCATGCTGGGCCTTCGCCCCCTGGCGGGGCTTCTCTGCTCTGTACTCACGCCAGGGCTCCCTGACTGGTGGGGTCGTGGCCAGATGTGGGGAGCAGTCTTGGTGGTAGCTGCCTGGGAGTATGCACGGGGAGCTGCCAGGCTGAGGGTGGTATTTTGAAGGGGGAAGCTCCGTGATGTCCATGCCGTGCCCAGCCAGCCCAACCCCATCCAATCATGAGCACAATGGTCTTATGTTGGATTTTTGTATTAAAACAAAAAAACCCAAAAATAAATGGAGACTTTAACTCAAGCAGTTTGGAGGTGTTTTGTGGTATTCCTCAGCAGACAGCAGAATGCCCACTGCTCCCACCCTGCTCCTTCCTTTCCTATTAGCATCCTACATGAGCGTGACATTTGTAACTGATGGGCCAGTACTGACGCGTTATGAACCAGCGGCTAGGTTACTGTACGGTCCACTCTTCTGTGCGGTAGGTTTGGGCAGACACGTGATGACATGTATCTGTGTACAGTATCAACAGAACAGTCCCACTGCCCTAAAACCTCCCTGTACTCCCCCGCCCCCGCCCCTGACAACCACTGCTGTTTATTTTCCATGGTTTTGACTTTTCCAGAATGTCACATAGCGGGAATCGTACAGTATGCAACCTTTTCACACTGGTTCCTTATATTTTGTGATATGCTTTTCAGTTCCCTCCATTGTATGGAGGTATCATTCATCTTTTTATTGTTGAATATGAATTCTTTATCCTGGATACTACTAGTCTATTTCAGTATGTCTTAGGATTCCAATTTGTGGCTTATCAGTTTTATGATGAACAGTTTTTAGTTTTGAGGAGATATATAACTTATTTTCTTTTTTGTTTTTGCTTTCTGTGATCCTGGAAATCTGGGCTGACCCAAACCATAAAGATGTTTTCTGCTAAAAGCTTTATGGTATAGCTCTTTTTTCTTTAATATTTATTTTTTTACTTGAAAGAGTTACAGAGAGGCAGAGGCAGAGAGAGAGAAGTCCTTCATCTGCTGGTTCACGCCCCAAATGGCTGCCATGGCTAGAGCTGTGCTGATCTGAAGCCAGGAGCATCCTTGGGGTCTCCCACACGGGTGCAGGGGTCCAAGGACTTGGGCCATTTTCTGCTGCTTTCCCAGGCCATAGCAGAGAGCTGGATCAGAAGAGGAGCAGCTGGGACTTGAACCAGCGCCATATGGGATGCTGGCGTCACTGCAGGTGGCAGCTTTACCTGCTACGCCCCTGCACTGGCCCTCTAAGGTGTAGCTCTTAAAATTAGGTTTGATCCAGCTCAAGTTTCTGATTTTTTTTTTTTAATATTGCTGTCTAGTCATGCCAGCACCACTCATTAAAAAGATGTTTCTCCCCTCCATTGGCTTGCATAGGGAGTCTTTGCTGAGGGCACAGTCACTGTGTAAACATGTGAGAGTTCTTCGGAGCCGTCTTTGCTGATTGTCAGCCCTTGGTGCCACTAACATCTTGCCTGGGTCACGGTAACTCTCTGATCTTGAAAGAAAGTAATGTTAGCCGGCGCCACGGCTCAATAGGCTAATCCTCCGCCTAGCGGTGCCGGCACACCGGGTTCTAGTCCCGGTCAGGGCGCCGGATTCTGTCCCGGTTGCCCCTCTTCCAGGCCAGCTCTCTGCTGTGGCCCGGGAAGGCAGTGGAGGATGGCCCAAGTGCTAGGGCCCTGCACCCCATGGGAGACCAGGAGAAGCACCTGGCTCCTGCCTTTGGATCAGTGCGGTGTGCCGGCCGCAGCGCGCCAGCCATGGCGGCCATTGGAGGGTGAACCAACGGCAAAGTAAGACCTTTCTGTTTCTCTCTCTCACTATCCACTCTGCCTGTCAAAAAAAAAAAAAAAATAGTGTTAAAGTCTCCAATTTTGTTTATCTACCTCAAGATTGCTTTGGATATTATAGTCATTGGATTTCTCTATAAATGGTAGAATTAGTTTGTCAGTTTCTTTTTAAAAACCTGCTGGGATTCCAATTTTTAGGAATTCTGACAAACTAGAACATAAAATTTGCCAAATTAACCATTTTAAATGTACAGTTCAGTGCCATTAAGTCCATCCACAGCATTGTGTCCATACCACACTGTGAAGTTCCAGAACTTTTTTCATCTTCCCAAGCAGAAACCCTATGTCCATTAGACAAGAACTTCCCATTCTCCCAGCCATATTCTGTCTCCATGGCTTCGTCTACTCCAGACATTTCACATAAATTGAGGCACACAATCTGTGCTGTTTTGCGCCTGGTTTATTTCCCTTAGCAGTGTTCCCAAGGTGCATCGACGCTGTAGCATGTGGTAGAGCTCCACTCCTCTTTGCAGGAGGGAGGCTGGTATTTCATGGTTTATCTACGGAGAGCACACTTGGTTTCTTCACGCGCGTGCTGATGGGCGTCTGGGTCACATTCACCGTGTAGTCACAGTGGACGATGCTATTGTGAGCACAGGTGTGCACTCTGCTGCTGGAGTCCCGACTTCAGGTCCAGTGTCTCCCTAGCGTGGAACCGCTGGAGAGCAGCTCAGTGCTGTGTTAAGCTTTTCCAGGAACTGCCAAACTGTGGGCAGCTGTAGCATTTTACCTCCCACCAGCAGTGTGTGAGGGTTCCAGGTTCTCCACATTCTTGCCAGCACGTACTGTTCAAATGAAGTTTTATTAAAAACGCCCCTAAGGTGTGTAACTACTCTGGGTTTGAATTGCATTTCCTTAATGAGTAATAATGTTGGAAACTTTTCATAAAATTATGGGCCATCAGTAAATCTTCTTTGGAGAAGTGTCTATTCAAGTTCTTTCCCCATTTTAAAAATTGAGTTGTTATCTGGCATGTTGATGGCTATTTGTATCACATCTGTACATCAATAGGTAGAACTGAAAGGTTAATAATACTGAGTTTTCTAATCTATAAGTATGGTATATGTTTCTCCCCATTTATGCAGATTTTCTTAAATTTCTCTAAGCAAAATTTTGAAGCATTTAGTGTATTTTGTATGTATTCATAAAAGCTTATGCTTATTCTTAAATATGTTTTTCTACACTATTATAAGTGGGCTTTAAAAAATTCATTTTCCATTATTTATGATTAAATAGAAAATACAGTTGGTCCTGTGACTTCACTTTTTAATTCCAGTAGTAGTTTTGTACATATTTTAGGATTTTCTGTGTAAAAAATCTGTCACAGGGGTAGGTGCTGCAGTGCAGCGGGCTGAGCTGCCTATGATGCCTGCATCCCTTACGGAAGTGCTGGGTCAAGTCCCCAGCTGCTCCACTTCCCATCCAGCTTCCTGTTAATGTGCCTGGGAAGGCAGCAGAAGATGGCTCAAGTATTTGGACCTCTGCCACCTATGTGGCGGGATAGCTTCAGGCTCCTGGCTTCAGCCTGGACCAGCCCCAGCTATTGTGAGCATTTGGGGAGTGAACCAGCCAGTGGAAGATCTGTCACTCTGTTTTGCAAATAAGTAAGTTGTTTTTTAAGAAAATCTTGCCATACAGTTTCACTCGTTTCCTTTTTGTCTTTCTGATCCCATTGCTTCCTCTTTCCTCTTTCATTTTTTCCCTCTGCCCCATCTCTCTCCATTTTCCCCCTTGGGCCTTATTGCAGTGACCACGAGTGCTAGTGTAATACTGCACACGAGTTGTGTGGAAGGCATCCGTGCCTTGTTTTCAGTCCCTGGGGAGAAGTGTTCGGGTTTCATCTTGCCGCATGCCACGTCACATCACGGAGGCTCCCTTCTACTCCTAGTTGTTGAGAGTCTTTAGACATTTTTGTCAAATGCTTTTTCCTGCATCCACTGAAATGATCATATGGACTTTCTTTATTCTCCTACAGTGGGTTAGACTGATTGGATTTCAGATACTGAATGCTCCTTGCATCCCGGGGATAATGCCTACTTGGTTATGACATTTTCCTTTTGATGAAGTGCTGAGTTCAGGATACTAAATTTTAAGAATTTTGCATACATGTTCATGAGGATATTTCCTGCTAATTTTTGAGAGGCAATGACTTTATTTTTTTGAAGATTTGTTTATTTGAAAGACAGATCTTCTGTCTGCTGGCTCACTCCCCAAATGGCTGCAGTGGTTGGGAATGGGCCAGGCCAAAGCCAGGAGCCAGGAGCTCCCTCCAGGTCTCCCACAAAGGCCATCCTCTGCTGCTTTCCCAAGCGCACTGTCAGGGAGCTGGATCGGAAGTGGAGCAGCTGGGACTTGAACCAGTGCCCATGTGGGATGCTGGCGTTGCAAGTGGTGGCTTTACGTGCTATGCCACAGTGCCAGCCTTGGGGCGATGACTTTATATAGTTTTGGTGCTGTGGTTATGCTGGCTCCTAGAAGGACTTCGGATGTAGTCTCTCTGATTTAGTTTTTGGTGGCGGTTGTGTGCCACTGGTGTCATTCTTCCTTAAATGTTTGGCACAATTTCCCAGGAAAGATGAGGGCCTGGAGTATTCCTTTCTTTCTTTTGGTTGACTTGGTTCTTTTTAGTTTCTTAAGGTGGAAATTTAGGTCAATTTTAGGCCTTTTTTTCTCCACAAGCATTTAAAGGTGTAAGTTTTCTTCTGAAGTGCCATTTTAGCAGTATCCTACAAATTTTGATGTGTATTGTTACTGTCACCCAATTAAAAGTATTTTCTATTTTGTGACATCTTTAGAAATGTGTTTAATTTGTAAATATTTGCATTTTATGGTATTTTATGGAGTTCTAATTTAGACCTACCGTGGTAAGAGAACATTTTCTGTATGATTTCAGTACTTTAAAATGTAGTAAGACCAGTTCTGTCTGTTTTCATGGTAAACACACCACACACATTTGGGAAAACATTTGCTCTGCAGCTGTAGGGCACAGTACTCTGAATTATCAGTTAGGTCAAGGTCACTGACAATTTTCTTTAGACCATCTAAGATTTAACTCATTTTTTTGGGGGAGGGGTCTTAAATACTAATAGAAGGTCAACAAAAATCTCTGTTAATGGGTTTTTTTCGTCCCTCTAATACTATTGCCTTCTGCTTCATTTATTTTGAAGTTAGTAGATATGCAGTTTTGACTAATGTCTCCTTGATGAACTGCCCCTTTCATCATCTGAAATGCTACTCTCTCTCTCCCTGGTAGCATTCTTTATCTGAAAGTCTATTTTATGTGGTATTAATATAGCTGCATCACTGCCCATAAGAGCCAGGACAGAGACTGGCGCTGTGCCACAAAAAGTTAACATGCTGCCTGCAACACTGGCAACCCAGTGTCCCATATATGAGTGCTGGTTTGCGTCCCCGCTGCTCT